AATCGATCCCCATAGTAGATAAAAGTCATATCAAACCATTAGTGCAAGGAAATTTTGTTTTTTTCCAGAATTCTTTTTGATAAAATGGGTAGAGCTGAATGATGTCCTGGAAAACAAAACTTCTGATTTTCTTGATAAATTTTATAAATATAATTGTAGGTAATCAACTAAGCACGTTACTGTTTGTCACGTTATTGTTCCGGAAAAAGAAAAAACATTTAAAAAATAAAAATATTAAGTACCAAAAACGGTGAGACGAAAGTTTTAACTGGGACACAAAAAATCTTGAGATGATTTCATTTGGCGCCATATTGAACGGGGAACGCTCAATTTTCGAAAAACGTTTTAAAGGTTTTTGTAACTGATAAAATTTAATTTGTCTATCTAGTCTAAGCAGTTTACAGTACATCAAATAATTTGCGTGGGGCAAACCAAAAGCGGTGAAGGCCATTTTGTTCGGCCACCTGGTATGTCAGCAGTGTTATGTTATTGTTAGTATGTACTCTGTAGCAGTCTACATACTTTGTTGGAACTACTGTATTTTCGCTTTCTGTTTAACTGGTAGTCTGGTACACCCAGTTTCACATGGAACGACAGTTCTTGCTTAGCTTCCGCTCCGTGCCGCAACTAGTGATCGAAATACAAATTCAAACTTAGGATTCAAATTTACAAATCGGACACGTGACCTTTCTACTTTTAGGTGATTTATTACGCTTCCAGTACCCAGTACCGTCGCCAGACTAACCACTTGATTAGGTCCTGCTTTACCGGTTTCGTTCCTCGCTCGGTGGATTCGGACACTGGAAAGCGCGGAGAAGCGTCTAACACCCGTGCAACATCGCGAAATAACAATCGTCTATCGACGTATTAATACGCAGAATACAATTTTTCAACCATACAATGTAGGACTAAATGGTCGCATAGCCCCATACCCAGCATTCTGTACGCAACCGGTGCAGTGCACTTGTACGAAACGGATATTTTGAACTCAGTCGTACAGTGCACTGCGCTGCATTCGTACTGAATTTGGAGATGTTGGGTATGCGACCATTTTGTCCTAAGCTGTATCTATGTTAAACCATACGTATTTTTATTTGGGAATAAAATTATTATAGTCTGTACCCTTAAGAAATTTAGTTCGTATCAGTTAATTTAGTACGATAGTAATTATTGTGTGAAATCTTGCTCTGTAAATCCCTTGACTATCAGTACGAACATCAGCTTCTGTTTATTACGAATATCTGTTTTATCACGAATATTAGTGAAACAGAAATAGTGTTCGAAAACAGCAGTACAAGTACTAGTAATGCCTAGCTGTGCCAGTTTACAAGCAATGCCCGATCATCAACGCAAGACAACTATCTGTCGTCTCGAAATAAGAGGAAATGAGAATACGCAATAAGAATAAAAGTTAATCAAAAGGTGACCTTATGAGAATACGTATTGCTATATGAATACGAGGCTGCTCAATTGCTTAAAGACCTTTTTATCTTTTTAGCTTAAAAAACGTTCAAATTTTATTTATTCTTCATTTTAGCAGTTTACATTATTTTATTCTTTATTTAGCAGATTATAGGTTTCTTTCCGTCGGAAGGCATTGTCCCCAGTCCTTACATTGCGCAAAGCATTGTCGTCTTTTTTCTTTTATTGTGATAATTATGCGAAACAAATAGCCCTAATTAATACTGTTAACTGCTAGCAAAACGTTATAATCCATTAGTTCGCGGTAGAGCTGTCTACGAGAAACCAAACTAAAACATCGTATTGCAAGTTTTGATTTTAATGGTTTTAGTTTTCTGACTTAATTATGCCATATTTATTGCGTTCAACGGTGCAAGAGGGATGACATACCAGGTTTTATCTCTTGCCAAGGCATTGGCAGCGCCAAAGTCACTTGCACCTTGCCCTCACCTGGTTCACGGGGTAAAGTGGTGGTGTGACAGTGTGTCGGCAATTGACTGTGAATGGTTCATTGTGGTTCCATTGGTCCAAGTTCTTATTTTGCAGTGGTGTTTGAAATGTGTAGGGTTCAGAACTTGGTAAACCACTTCTGTACCAGTCTATAGGTTCGAACCTATAGAACCCCCGATGTCCTAACGTGGACATTCTATGTGTAATGCGGTATTAAATGTTCGAAGATTGCAGGATACTGATGGTTTGCACTCGACACAACACCAAGCGGCAAGGAAAACTGTACAATATTCGAACACCTTTTGCTGCTCACGTAGCAATTTCGATTCTGCGCACTCACCGCCATCCCAGTGCACGCTGTTTGATAGATCGTGGACGAAAAGGTTATACAGCAGAAAACGGTGCTGTCAGTCCCATGCCAAATGCTATAACGTTGTGACTTACCTCACATCGTTACAATCACTGATAGTTCAAACGATTCGTACGTAGGATATTCGGTTTCTGAGATAGTGAACGAATAATGTTAATCGAACGGACGATTAATCTTGATTCTTCAGCAGCTGTCTGCTCAATGAAAATGGTGTGTTTGACGTTGCTCCTGGCTTTGTAGTATAAACTGAAGATACAAGATACAAGTCCCGCATAACGGGAAAATTTAACCATGATAAAGTGAATGAAACAGAGCATGGCCCAAAAAAGCGCAAGAATCAGTTAAAAATTATCGAGCCACTCAGTTTCAAACTACCCCCTAGGCCTCGACATGGCTCGGTTCACTGCTGGACTTGTAGTCCACGAAGCGCGCTAAGGCAAACAGGCAGAATCGATTCAGTTCCTAATATATAAGGAGACCTTCCGACCGCCAGTCAGTCTGAAGGCTCACAGGGTGCATGTCGTGACTTCGTCACATTGCCTGCTAAGAAGCTTTCGATAATTATCTGTAGCAGTAACAGCAATCAACAAGAAAATCTGAACACGTTCCACATCTTTGTCACCTACAGGTGTTGCCTCGCGCCTCTGCAGATGATGCATCGTCTGGCTGAGGATCCTGACGAAACGTAACGCTTTCGCTCCACCTTTTTCAGCAGCAAATCCGCAACCGCCGGCTGCAGAGTCCAGTGGCGGTTAAGGACTCTGCATGTCTGCATGACGAAATCGCCTCTTACAACCAGTTCTAGTTTCACATATGCTCTCGTGGTCGTAGGGTCCCTTTTCCAAATCTGTGAGTCGGGGAGCAGTTCGTGACGCCCATGGCCTTCCAACATCACCTCCACCCGCAACAAATTTCTCAAAATTTAGGAGCATCTAACTAATATCTGCCCCGAATACCATTTCGAGGTCCTATCCGCGCCGCTGTGCAGCACCTCAATAACTTTGCCTACGCGCGCGGCGTGCATTCGATGGTAGGAGGAGCTCCAGACCTTTCCGTAGTCCCCTCGCACCGACTGCCTTTCGAAATCGAGGAGCACACGCGGCGATTGCTGTCGCTTTCTGACTTATCTTCCAGACCGGTGACGCTAGCATGCTGATTAGGATCTGTATCAAAGTTCTGTCTGATTGCAGTTTCAATGATTTCCAGTTTATGATGCCTATCATTCTGTACTGCTTCCTGCATAGCCAACTGAATCCTTCCTTTGTCATCTGACGAATGAAATGCGCAGTGCCGTTTTCCCAACGATTAAAGGGATGATACGGTATCGCAAAGTACGGCGGTCTTGCTGAAAATCAAGAAAAAAAATTATATTTCCAGCTTCGCCAGTCATTCATATCGGCATATCCGGCAAATTAACTGTACTGCAGGTATGCACCTGCGCTATTCAGCATCGAACTGCTCCGCCGGAGCAAATGCCCTTGGCTTTTTCTAAAAAGCTTGAGGAGCTTCGTAAAAAAATTTTCAAGAGCTTACAGCTCCGACCTTGAAGAGCTTAGAGATCTTCAAAAGGAGCTATATGCTTCCAGACGGGTGTGCCGGAAGTATTCCGTCCCTTTTGAAAGGGCGCATCTGTTGTGTGATGTGAAGTTGATGCCTCAGTTAATCAGCGAATATTACTTGGGCCCTCATGATCCCTCTGACATCAGCAGCCGGTCGAACATTGTAAACTGACAGCTGATATCGCACAGATCCCTAATTCGGACTCGGCAATCAACATAATTATTTCCGGACTATGGTAGAGAGTGGCGCGAAAAGCAGGATTGGAGCGCCGGCGTGACTGGCTATGTGCAGCAAGTACTGGGCGTGGCAGGCCAACGCATCCAGCGAATGTTCTTCTGTCGCCCTGTCATCAAGGTGAACAGCGCTGGCAAGCCCCTGGCGGATTGTATTAAAGAGGTGCTCCAAGGCTACGGTGCTCTGGCTGCATGTTGTGACAAAGTCATCTATAGAGACGTGACGAGGACGGCGGAATGGGCATGCAAAATTTGGTATGTTTAGTAAGAATTGACCACCGGTCTGTTAACGATGGTGACTATTCTCCGGAAGCAGCCCTGCTGTTTATCTGTACTACGAGTATTCCATTCAGTTGCACCACCGGAGATAAAATTACTTTCACTGTACATGTCACTCAAGCTGTGATCCACATTACGGTCATGAGTCATGACCAGTTGTAAAAAACATCAGCAGAAGTGACCAACTGTTCCGAAATTCCTAATTTATAGCACTTATGCAATGGTGCGTATCAGTGCTTCTTCGTTTTTCAGGTTTTCCTAGTCACTGGTCATTTCGATGACTATCACAATGCACTTGTATTGAGATACTCGCTGAGATCTATCGTTCGGGCTATGTAGTGACATATTCTGCGTGGATTTTTCAACAGTTGTTATAAGCGGCAACGGATAGCATGTCGGCGCTACACGGTTACCACGCGTACTAGCCCGGCATGGTCACATATTGCCTGACCTACGGTCGCTAAAATTCTGAAAAAAATATTTCTATCGTGACTGAATTTTTCTGTGCCAGATTGCCAATTTTCAAAACTGTAGTACCAAGAAATGGATTTGGCTGATGTTCAAATTTGCCTAATTTTCAAAACTGTAGTCCCACCCCTTCTAGTCCCCGGCTTTTCTGAGCTAAAAAGAAAACTGAAGTCTGTAAGAGGAAAAAGCAAAACAGAGCATAAGCAAGCATTTTATAATAAGAAGTGTACGTAAATATAACAAAGGTATTGGTTCTGTGCAACGAAGAGTGTGAATCTAGTCAAAGAGTCCTATTCCTTCAAAACCAGAGGATGGCCTATTCCTTCAAAACCATCCGATCCCAGCACGACATCCGGCGTGCCAGGAGCGCCGCGATCACGGCCGCCAGCGCTGTCAGATTCCACCGCTCCATTCCCGAGTGCCGGATCACGATCGTGCGCTGCGGCTGCTGCAGGATGAAACGCTCCATGCGGATGCCCATGTCGTTGGAAACCTCCTTGACCAGTTGCTCCATTGCTGCATCAAGCCCACCCATGTCTCCCTTAGCGTCCTCCGTCCCGGGGATATTACACAGGCTGTTGGTGAAGGTGTTCGCCATGATGTGCTTGAAGAAGCAGGCGTACACGAGGTAATCGCCGTCCCACTGGATGCGTTGCGATGGACGCTGCCGCGATACCCGCACCTCTGTGCACAGTTCCGCCGACGTGAGAAGGGTTTCCCACAGCTGACAGGTGCGACGGCAGCGCTGCCGATCCACGGTGTCTAGCGAGCGGAAGATCTCCTTCAGCATACAAACGGCAACACCAAGCCGCGTTCCCCGACACCCACCTGCTCTGATCGCTGTAGCTCTTCGTTTTCTTTGCATAATTCAGGGTGAAATGCGAGAAGCTGGGAGTTTCGATCGAAAACCCTCACCTGTGGTAGGATCGTAAGATTATGCGGGATATCAACAAGTTATACGTTCAACAGTACTCTATTACAGACACGCAATATTATTAAGAGCAGACAAAGCGTCCATTGGCATACTACTACTTTTAACTAAATCAATTTTAAACACAGGGAACGAATTCAGCAATCAATTATACTAGTTACTAGTATTAAGAATTCGCCACGGTGACCACAAGTTTCTAGCAAAACTCTGTCACTTACGATATCTTCTTCGGCCAAAGGCAGCTCTTGGCGTCGCCGCAGATAGTGCATCTCCTGACCAAGAACCTTGACAACACGCAGCTGTAACTCCTGCTCCACTCGGCGGAGCAGCCAGGTCGAGGGCGGTCCCTTCTGAGTCCAGCAGCCAACGGTGCAGGTCTGTATGACGAAATCGCCAGGAGCAAGGGGTCCTCGCGTACGTTGTCCTCTGGATGGAACCCGAATCTGTCGGTGGGGAAGCAGTTCGCGACGACACTGCCCGTGCATCATCACCTCCACCAGCGCCACATAATTGAGCTGACCTAACATGCGAATCAACATCTTCCCTGGGTACCATTTCCAGGGGCGCTGCGAGCCGTCGTGCAGCAGCACCTCCACGGCAGATCCCCGGGGCGCCTCGTTGAATCGATAGGTGGAGCAGTCCCAGGCCTTCCCGTATTCCGCCACCACCGCCTGCTGCGTCGGGCATCCAAAATCGACGATCAGGCGCGGCGGAGTGCGGTCGTTCTCTGGATTCTCTTCCAGGCCGACGACATAACCATGCTGCAGGGAACTGTCAATCTCCACATCCACAGCGTTCTACGCGTACACCGATCGCTTACCATTCTCGTACAGATGCATCCTTTAATTTCTGGCGGAAAGGAGGAAGCAGAGATGTGCCTGATGACAAGTGTAATGGACAGTAATCCTTAACACCACTGAACAATGTGAGAAAAAAACAGAGAAAATAGAATACAGCGAGAAGAACTTGGGCAGGGCGGCTGACAGCCTGACGCACCATCAGCCATGCAAGGTGCGTGATTTGCACTGACGCGCCGCCTCATGGCGGTTGGAAGCCCGATGTCATACAGTCTGATACAGATGCCGGCTTGTATCGTATATTATAATAATTATAATATTATTATGTTTCATCGCGTAACTGCTCGGAGAAACTCTAATTTTTGAATAAAAGCAGCCAAGCACCAACAAGATACGCCATATGACCAGTCGAAGCTGTGCACTTACTGTGTAGCGAACTTCAATAAGTTCGTGAGGGCGGCAACAGTCAACTGAATGCAGCCATTACGCTTACATACTGTCACGAGGAAGGTCTAACACCCCCTCGAAATACAGATAAATCTGGATGTGGAAGAACACGGGCCTTCCACAAAATAAGAGTTTATTGCCCAAAAAAGGGAAAAATATAGAAAATGGGGAAAAGAGAAGCAATAAACTGAGCATTTCCACAGGAAATGCAGGAAATCTATACCAGCAGCCACCTAGGGCGGCTGCTCCATACATCTAGCATGCACCGTGACACATGCCCCTCCTTCGAAAAAGGGCTGCCCCCAGCCCGTAAGAAAACACATAAGACAATGACGAAATGGTTTTAACAACCAAAAAGATACAAGAAAACAGAAAAATAAACTCTTTCGCCAAAAGGCGCACTCCAGGTTGTCCAGCAGCCGGATGGCGGCGGAGGCAGGATGCGCAGAAGGGCTGATTCAACCCTTGGAATCGGCGTGCAGCACATCGCCCGCCTTGTCCGGATCCTTCACCACCCTGGGCGATACAGGTTCATCGGCCACATCGGCCCTGGCTCTGCAACGGTGCTCCAATACGGCCGTCCTGCGCTGTATACAGGGACGGTCCTGCGGAGGGCTTGAACATCGGTAAGCAGCAGTAATGCCTCGGGTTACTGCTGCTGAACGTTTTTTGGCGATTTAGAGGAGTGAACGGCACGCCGTACCGTTTTCTTCGAAGTTGCACGGTGGAGGACGGTGACAGCGATGTGTTCCGTAAGCGACACACGCTTAGCGGCAGTTAATGTCGCTGTATTACGGTGGTACGCACGGGGACTGGCCATCCGTTCCTGGTCTGTCTGGCGCACAGGTTGCATGGCGCCTTTTCCAGTTGGTGGAGCAGGAGATAATGCTGATGACATGGTATGAGGGGGACTAGCATCGCTGCTGGTACCTCGGTCCAAAATGATGCCGGTATCGCACTGGGAAATCGCTGTGCGGGTGCGCTTGGCTGCTAACGGCGCAACGTCATCAGTCCCTGTTTCGGTCTGCGTTGTACGGTGCTGCTGAACAAGGCGTACTGGCGGGCGCCGAGCTGCCAGCCGTCGCAGTGCTGCCCCTCGCTCCTCGGCCAATTCCGCATAAAAGTTCCGCTCCCCTTCCAGTCGAATCGTTTCGGATCGGTAGAAATTGTTTTCGTCCAGCAGCTGAGAAAGCTGCTGCTCAAGCAGCTCGACCCTGTAACTCACTGGCAGCGAAGGGGGTCGGTCGTAGAGATGCTCTGTGTCGCAGGCATTGGAGATGTCCCGATCTCTCACTTGCAGGCTTTTGGGCTCAGATGGCTGCCCCACGTAATAGTCAAAGGTGCAGGGCACCTTTCTCTTCGGTTTGGGAGATAGTGCGGGGCTGGAATGGCTACTATGGCCATTAGAAGCAGCGGGACCACGTCGTACAACGGTGTGATCACTGCTATATCCACTAAAGGCATAAGATGGTGCGAACTGGACCGGCTGTTCTTGTCCAGAGTAGAAGAGAGTGTCAGGATAAATTTCGTCCACAGGTTGGCCACCATACGTCCACCGGTATGGGGAAATCTGATGGGAAACTGACGAGGTCCCTGTCGGCATCCACGAACCCACAGGGCAGGCTACGTCTCCATCAGACTGGTGCATTTTTTGCCAGGAGCGCCATTTGTCACGAGGAAGGTCTAACACCCCCTCGAAATACAGATAAATCTGGATGTGGAAGAACACGGGCCTTCCACAAAATAAGAGTTTATTGCCCAAAAAAGGGAAAAATATAGAAAATGGGGAAAAGAGAAGCAATAAACTGAGCATTTCCACAGGAAATGCAGGAAATCTATACCAGCAGCCACCTAGGGCGGCTGCTCCATACATCTAGCATGCACCGTGACAATACAATACATATCACACATCGGCACTGCAGCCGACAGGGAATACCACTGCAACCGATGACTAACGCGAGCACAACTTGCAGTAACTGCAATCCGACCGGAAACTCTGATTAAATATTGCGCTTAAATCAGCCATCCGAAACGCTACAGTCGCAATTATGCAGCAGTCAGCCTTCATAAAATATGTAGTTGCTAGCGTCCCAGACTTACTCTCGGACATCAATTGTAACGTAATGCTAGTTATAGTTATACGTAATGCTATATATATACGTAATATACGTAGTTATAGTTATAGTTACAAGCTCAACCTCGGCCTCCGGCCTCGGTTGAGAACTTTTAGAACTGAAGAAAGTAATGTGGTACTGTAGCCGCCCGCACAAGTTGCCCCACAGAGTGAGGTATACGGATATTTGGCCTCACATTGCTCGCTGTTCAGCGCAGTGTGTGCAGGGAGAAGGCAGCGGCCGGATCTGCCAATGGAGCAACTTGTGCGGGCGGCTACAGTAGTTTTATAAAGATTTAGGAAACGGAATGTAATTGGATCGCAAAAGCGGTTTGTTTTGGATTACACAAACGGTATATGTATACAGGTTCCGTTATAATTAACGGAACGTGTATCGGTAAGAGGTTGGACGAAATGTATTACGTACTGAAGTGATTTTCTGTTTCGCGAATGTATACTTATGTAAAAAACCGACTAAAAGGCGACCAGCAAAAAAAAACGGAACGTGTATACATATACTTCAGTTTATTGAGGTGCCATCGTTAAAATCGTCGTCAACAAAGAAGGTTGAGCCAAATAACATATCAGCCGAAAATGTTATTAATAACGTATCAGCCAAACACCTCCTCGTCCATCTGACAAAAAAAAATTTTTTTTGTATAATCGGCAAAAATCATTCTACCTCCGTCTAACCGCCAAAAATCCCTGCCCCTGTGTCTGACCGGCGAAAATCCCTACTCCTCTGTTCTAACAGGCGAAAATCCTGTACTTCTATCTGACCGTCGAAAATCCTGTAATTCGATCTAACCGGCGAAAATCCCTGTGCTCCTATCAAACCGGCGAAAATCCCTGACTTCTGTGTTACCGACGAAAATCATTGTACCTCCGTATAACCGGCGAACATCCCTCTACTTCTATCTGACTTGCGAACCCCGCTGTACTTCTATCTGATCGGCGAAAATCTCTGTACTGTTATCTAACCGGCAAAAACCCCTGTACTTCTATCTAACGGGCAAAAATTCTTGTACTTTTGTCTGACCGGCGAAAATCCTGTACTTCTATCTGTCCGGCGAAAATTCCTGTACTTCTATCTGACCGGCGAACCCCGCTGTACTTCTATCTGATCGGCGAAAATCTCTGTACTGTTATCTAACCGGCAAAAACCCCTGTACTTCTATCTAACGGGCAAAAAATTTCTGTACTTTTGTCTGACCGGCGAAAATCCTGTACTTCTATCTGACCGGCAAAAATCCCTGTACTTCTATCTGACCGGCGAAAATCCTGTACTTCTATCTGACCGGCAACAATCCTTCCCCTCTGTCTCACCGGCAAGAATACTATCGGAAATTATATCTTTTAGTCGGGAATCTGCGCATCACGGGGACATTTATTGTGCATCATCGTATTCCCTTCTTTTTATTAATACGTACTTATGTTAGTTTTTGTATGTACCTTGCCCGTTAAAGTACAGTTATCCTTTTCTTCTTTCCGCCAACGAAATGAAATGTCGCTCACATAATATTATGCTAAGTGTTAGTAGTTTTGTTCGAAAAGTTATACATTTCCGCCAATCATCTATTAGTTACCTTATGTTAAGCCAATCAGCGAAATTCGTTTTGGTCATGCTTTGTAATTCGGATTACGAGAAGATCGAAAAACCAAAATCGTAAAGGACAGATAACATAATTAAGCGTTTTTCAAGCTATCAATAATAGTAATTATAAAAACATATGCATGTACAGAAGCAGGCTACCAACCACGTTATTTACTGTTACAATAATTAGTCCGTTTTACGTTATGCCGTTCCCTACTTTTATATCTCCACTTTATCCACAATATTAACAGTATTAACTAACGGTACAGTGCTCTTTGGCTCATAAGTTAGTCAGCAGTTTTCGTTCGAAACGATTCGCATTTCCGCCAATCCAGTTTTAATTTCTAAAGGTAAACCAATCAGCAAAATTCGTTTCGAACGCGTTTCGTAAATCGGAGGACGAAAAGATCAAAAAACGAAAGTCGTTGACGCAAACTACATGATTTTAGGCATTTTTTGAGCTATCGTGCGAAAAATGGTGGCGAACGGTGTAGGAGGAGATGTTTGACAAAAAAACGGCTCAGTTAGTTGCGAACGGTGTAGGAGGAGTATTCTCTTAACGATAAAATTTGCATTCCCGTAAAATGAACCAGCCGAGTGGACAAACTGAGTATGTGGCTTAACAATAAGCATATGTTCGTACATTGCCATGTGTCAGCGGTTTAGGTTCGAAAATTACGCATTTCCGCCAATCCTCTGTTACTTTCTAATAATCGACCAATCAGCGAAATTCGTTTTTGAGCCGTTTCGTAAATCGGAGGATGAAAAGATTGAAAAACTAAAGTCGTTGCCGCAAACTACATGATTTTAGGGATTTTTTGAGCTATCGTACAAAAATTTCCGTCGAACGGCGTAGGAGGAGATGTTGGACAAAAAAACGGCTCAGTTAGCTTTGTATATATATAATACGTAATGCTATATATATACCCAGTTATATATACGTAGTAGTAGTATATACGTAATATATATACGTAGTACATATACGTAG